AACAGAAACAAATTATTTTTATTTATAATTTGAATTATACAGATCGAAATTTGTTATAATTTATTAATGAGTATACATTGTCATATTTATTTATTTATTTAGCTCTTATGTGAGATGAATTCAAATATAAATAAGTAAAGAGCGTAAGAGCTAATAATTTTATAATTTCTAACCTAATCAATAAACAAATTTAAAAAAATTTTTTTTTTTTTAAATATATATTTAATACATAAATAGCCAGTTAACCAATTCCTGACAATACTTTACCACAAATTAATAATTTTTTTAATTGCCTTCAAGACTTGCTTTGCTTTACCTTGTAAAGCACCTTAGACTTGAGCTTCACATTATTTAATTTAAATTGCTCATATATTTACCTAGTCAATTCAAAGCACATTATTTGCTGATTGCCAATTTGAGGCGAGAAGCAAATTGAATCAAGCCAAAGGCTGACCGCATTTTGGTTTTACACATGCTAAAATAATATTTGCTAAATAAACTATATGCAAATATTTATGTTGGCAGACAATAATGAATGAAATTGTGCCTGTAATGCTTATCATGATTTGTCTGCTCGTCTGCGGAAGGTAATATGCAAAAGAAATGTTATGACAGTTAATTTAAAGAAGCTGTCCTCAGCAGTTCCCAGTGCAATCTGAGCACAAAACTATTTTTCATTTAAAGTTTAAGGCGCAAATGGCACTGAAGAAAAGCATTTTTAATTTGAAAGCGAGGCAAGCGTATGTTAATAATAAACGAGAGCAGGAAAACGGCATAGAAAGGAGCACACACTCTCACGCACACACACACATAGACACACGGGGAGACAAAGACACGATGTGAAAGTAAAAGCCAGCAACTGGAGCAAACTTTGTTGAGTTCTCCATTAAAAAAAAATAAATAAGTAAATTAAAATGTAATATGTGCTAATTGTTTTTCAATTTATTCAATGCCATTGAATGTGCGAGGGAAAAATTAAGTTACGAAAAGTTGACTTGACGCCACTCGACTCAAAGTTAATTGTGTTTATAATTAATTCCAGTTGCAGCTCTTTGCTAAGTGTTTTTGCTGACAATAATTTTGCTATTTCCACAGTTAAGAGGACGCCTGACAATATTGTAAATGATTTATTTATACCTAACGTAATTAATATTACTTCGGCTTTGAAAAATAAATGAAACCAAATGTCCATTCTTTATGTACGGCTTAGGCGTAGGCATTTTGAATGAGGTCTAGACAAATTCGATTTCAATTTGGGACTCATTTAATTGGCATTGGGTACGATTAATCAATGGCTCTTTGAGAATTATTTGCACAGTTTGGCTGATTATTCTTGCGCAATAATAATTGCGACAATAAGTACTCAATTATAATTAACTAATTTATGGCCCTGATTGCTATGCAAAGCACTTGGATATAATAAAATAAAATTGTTGAATTTTTTTTTTTTTTTTTTAATTTAATGTTTATTGACGCCCCACGAGGTACACCAATAACCACCAATTATTTATAGTAATTTATAAGCCATTCTTTTCATGTATTTTGTCTGTTATATATTTAATTTACTTATTACAAAATAATTATTTGTTATATATGACTGGCTAGACAGACACAATGGCAGCTAGTTTGTAATTTTGTTACGTGTGATGGCTAAGCACACTCAAACTTATGCTCACACACACATAAACACACGTGTGCATGTGCGTGTGTAACAATAATTTTACACGCAATTAAGTATTATATATTTAAAAAAAGAAACAACAAAACAACACTGCACAAAAGCGCCATCTAGCGCAAGGCTCACTCACTAACTAGCTCGCTCGCTCGCACTCTATCTCTACCTCTATCTCTATCTCTGTCACATCCATTCACAACTTTTACACGCTCAACTTTGTATTATTATGCATCTTGTTTGTATGCTCCTTTAACTAGACCTTAACACAAAATTATCAACTAAAATAAACAGAGAATGTAGTCCTAAAACTATATATATATA